AAAAAAAAAAAAAAAAAAAAAAAAAAAAGTTGGAAATTTGGAAGTAAAAAAAACCAACATTATTATATAGACAAATTTAGGCTCTCAATGAATGGAATTAATTAAAAGATGATAAAATATTGTTTTTTAATAAATATCCATTTTTACAATTTGGGGTATAAAATATTTATATATTGGATAATGTTTTTTAATTCGGATTTATGAATAATGTTACTTTTATTTAATATTTATTTTTCCTTTTGTAATAATTTTGAAAGGATCCAGAAATATGGATTTGTCCCATGTAGTTTATATACACAACAAGAATAATTTAAGTTGCGGAATTTAAATTAGATTACTTTTTCATTTATATTTTAATAAAGCTTAAATTTATTCGGAATCTATCAGTTAAATGGCATACAAATAATTAACATTATCATCAGAGCAATAAATCCAAATTATTCTTAATGACTTCAAAATATAGCTCCAATAACATACATGACTATATTTTCACTAAATACCATGAAGAAATAATTTACATGTACTCATTCAACTTGCTAAGAACCAAAATTTTACTAAAGCCATATCCTGAACAATGTGTCTTGGCTTGGCAAACAAGAGCATAAACAGCCTAAAATAGTGTTCCTAGACTCCTAGTACACAAACTCCTGCGGATTCAAGAGTCGAATGCGAATGTCGAAGGAAATAGAACTTCACGAGTCGGAAGTCGGGGCATAAATTTTGAATATGAATCTCAGATCTCACCTGTTCCAAGGGGTTGCCTTGATGTATCACCTGAGGCCCATGCTTGATAGTCCTTCACAAGCTGCACGACACAATCATGCCACTCAAGGATTTGTCCATATAACACAATAGTAAAGATAGAATAGACAACAACATATCAATATAAAGGTGCTGAAAAGATCAGTTAGAAGTGTGGTGAAATGAAATAATTTGTACGAGTTCATGATAAGATGCAACGGGTTAAGGATTTCGCCACATCCATAGCCAATCACCAAGCAAAATTCATCCCTAGAGTTGAGAGAAAATGTAACAGCCCAAGCCCACCGTTAGTAGATATGGTCCTCTCTAGGCTTCCCCTTCCGAGCTCCCCTCAAGGTTTTTAAAACGCGTTTGATAGAGAGAAATTTCTACACCCTTATAAAGAATGCTAAGTTCCCCTCTCAAACTGACGTAGGATCTCACAAAAAAAACTTTATAAGAACTTAAGTTTTAGATTCAAAATGAAGCAAAAGCTCTATATTACAACTCTAAAGTGGATATTTACGGCGTTGCAAGAAAAAAAAATCAGATAACTATTAATAAAAAAATTCTATTAATATGAAAATTAACAACTAAGCGACTATTAACTACATTATACAAATATCTAATAATTCACCTACATCATTCACCCCATGCTAGGCATTTAAATTATAAAGAACAAAACTCAGATTTGAAGGCCATATATTGTAAATTTTCACTTAAAATTTTTCTACTTCCTGCAGATTACAAATAATGCACACATAAATATCATTAAGAACAGGTACTAAAATCAAGCAAACACTGAAATACAGCAGTTCAAAGCAACATGTTCATTATTCTGTACAAAAGGGTTTCCATAAAACCTGGGCTGTGAAGCGGGGAAGCATAAGCTTCAGTATTTGTTCCAGGACTTGGGTCCCAGCTGATTCAATTGCTTGTACAGGAATTGCACGAAAGGCGAAAGGAATCTCGATGTTAACCTGGATTTCCCAGAACAAGGCAATTATTTTTTTTGTACACGTAAATGAAAACATATTTTTCCAGTGATAGAGCTGTTGAATAAAATTGCCACTACCTCAATGACAGTGTCCGATGTGAGTTTCTGCAAGGGTGAGCTGCCTCGATTGACATCATAAGATATCTGGTTCACCATATTAGCTGCATTCCGACACCAAATCAATGTCAAAGCAGTCCTGAAAAAAGCATGAACCAAAAACTCAACATGATGAATGGGCTGCTTTTCCAGCAAAACAACTTAGAAATCACGCAGAGCAGCAATACTATAAGGATGCAATCTAAAGGCAGAAAGCAAAAAGAACAAGGCATATTTCGAAGTGATGATATGCAATTCACAATAAAAAGTGTTCATGTTTTTGAACGAAATGCATGTTTTGGAGTGATTTTAACACTCACAAACATGCCATAAATCCATTCAGCATCGGTGTTTGATTTTTCTACACATTAGTTAAGCATAATTTAGATTCTCACCATCAAATTTATCATTCTGTGCAACCACGATTGGCGAGCCCTCAAGCTGAATGTCATTTAGACGTGTCAAAATCAGAACATTTCCACAAAACAAAAGAAAGGAAACAGAAACGCAAATTTATCCAGACCTTACACGACAGAAGCTTGATGCAACATCCATTGGGCTGCACTTCAACTCTAACAATTAAAACAGGGCAAACCTCAAAAGCAAAGAACTTAAATCTATAAACATAGCACCTAAAGGTGCAATCATCAATCCGCTCAATCCTCTCCGCATCCAACACCGAGTACTGACTAGCCGGCAAACTCATATACTCATCTACACCAACCAAACAAAAAATCCCTCAAAAATCAAAAAAACCAAAAAACACATTACAAAGAATCAAAAGTTCATCTCAAAATCCAAAAACTCTTCTAAAATTACTTAGAGGCCGCGCCAACTGCCGAACAGTGATGGACTCGCTCCTCCGGGCGACGAATCGCGCTTTCGGATTGGAATTCGCGGAGATTCGAAGCGAAGGCCTGGGAGAATCATCCGCAGAGGAGGCAAGTATAACGAATGGTCTACGAGTGATGGAAAAAGAAGCTCTAGGGCTTCTAGAGTGGAGTGAAATGGAAGTCGGCGAGCAAGAACTCAACGCCATTGAAGCGTTCGAGAAATTTGCAATGGAAACCGATGTTTGAGGCTTTCCGTGAGAGATGGATAAGAGGATGGTAAATGGCGCAGCTGTTTTTCAAGCTACGGGTTGCTGTTATAAATATAGCCATTAATTATTTATTTATTTATTTATGTGTTGTCCTTTTAATTATCTAAAATTATAAATATATAATTTTTTAAATTATTAAACAAAACTAACATAATTTAAAAAAAAAAATTATTATTATTTATTACAACTTTATTTACCTCTATGATTATTCTTTTAATTATTTAATTTCTAACAAAATTTTAATTTAATTTTTTTTAAATAAATAAATATATATATTAGCGTTACTTGAATCTAAAATATTTATAATCCAAACAATGATTTGGATTTAAAAGAAATATCTCAACTAGACTCGACTCGACCCGACCTGTAAACACTTTCCGACAATACTAGCCTCTCATTAGAGGATTAGTTGAAACTCGAGTAGCTAAGTTCAAAGAAAACGATTGAAGCGAGAGTGCTAGCAATACAACCCCATTTGAAGCGTTAATGACACAACCCTGATTCGATTTGTAACGGTTTAAGATCCATCTTTCGTTACGAAATGCTATTTCTATTGAAGATTTGTTTTCACGGCAAAATCTCTTTCCATCCTCCGCGTCCGGAGCCATAGCCCGACCCGTATCCTGAACCAAACCCGGAGCCACTCCCAGTGGAACCTCCGCCCCCACCCCCTCCTCCTCCTCCGCCTCCACCTCCACTTCCAAATCCGCTTCCGCTACCGTATCCCGAACCGTAGCCTGATCCATTTCCACCTCCTCCTCCTCCACCTCCGCCTCCGCCTCCGCTTCCTCTTCCAAACCCTGAGCCGCTCCCTGATCCGAATCCGGAACCGGACCCAGTCCCACCACCACCCTCCACCTCCACCACCGCCTCTACCGAACACTCCATTGCCTTCTCCCTCACCGTATCCTTCGCCTCCACCCTACCCAAAACCAGAGCCGTAACCCGAACCCGGAAATAGTCCTCCTCCTCCGCCGCCACTTCCACCACCACCTCCCCCGCCTCCTCCTTCACCGAAAGCTCCTCTTAGCGATCGGGCGGCAAAGGCGAAGTCCACAAGGAACAAAGCCAACAAGGCAACCCCTGCCGCTCTGATGCACGCCATTTTGGAACTGAAAAAGAAAATTCACTCTGTGTACTGGAAACCAGGAAAATGGGCATTCGATGAAGAAATTTGGAACGAGGGCTTCCCTTTATATAGGAATTTGAAAAGGTGAGCTTCTGACACGTGTATCCGTCGGAAGATAGCTGATGGTCACTTAGTTTTGGTGGTGGGGCCGCCGGCGGACGGTGGTGCTGTTGGTGGCCAAAGTTTTAGTGGACATAAATCTTCCCAAACATTATTAACTAATTAATATTAAAAGTAAAACTCATTCATAAAACAATACAAACTTTCAGCTAATAACTATTTGACTTATAAATATTAGTATTTATACTGTTTTTCTATAATTACCATTTTGCCCCTTCCACTCCTGATCGAGCTCGGCCATTTTAAACCTTCAATTATGAGTGTTCATATAATCTAATAACTTGATCAATTCGAACTACTCAACCCAAACCATAAATATTGATTTGGGTTATATTGAATTTTTGAAGAACTGAACATTCGGTTCAGTTTGTGGGTTGACATTTTTTATTAGATTAATTTGACCACTTGAAAATAGTGTTACAATAAAACTATATTTAAAAATATATATTTAATGTTTGTAACTGATATGAGTGAGACACTAACTTGTAAATATTTGATATTAATATAATATATGTCGAGGATAAATATGATTTTTTTTTAAAAAAAATAGTTTTTTTTTTTTAATTCAATATTAATGTGAGGATATAATTGTTTAATTTGTATTCCCTATAAAAATGAAGCACTAAGATGGTCCTAGAAAGAACGGGTACACAACAAACGTCCAACCTCTCAATGAACTACAAAAACGATTCAAATCCAATAAAATTAGGTTAGTTTTTGAATCGATGTTCACATAAAAGCATTAAACCGAACCCTTGTTATGCTTCTGCCCCAAACGAAACCTTAATCACTATGTATTATTTCGATGTTACCCTTTGAGATTTGTATGCCTTTTGTTCTGACTTTTCACATACGGTTTTGTAAATCGATGAGTATGTCTCACTTCTTCATACATTCTTTGTGATCTCTCCAATGAAACATGAACACTTTGGTCTAAATAACATGTTCGTTTCTAACACTTTAACCACCATCAACGTGGGACGGTTTACTAGCTGAATCCATTTGTTGGGTCGAACATTTGTTAAAAAAAAAAAAAACCCGTGTCAAGCAAAATATATATATATATATATATATATATATATATATATATATTATCGAGAAAACCGTAAAAGTTACGATGAGGAAAAATCCCTTGAAGTAGCTTCAAGCGTACATTATGAATATTATACGGTTCGAACGTTAACCATGCACCTCATTTTCATACAAGAATATATATATTTTTTTAATAGATTTTTTATTAATATTCAATTTTAATTATATGTTTTAAGCCACGTTATTAGTTTATTGAATTAAAAATAAATATAAGGATCTATATGTTATTTTTTAAAAGTCCAGTTGCTAAAATAGATATTTTCAAAGTTAATGAGTGAAAAATAGAATTAACCTAAAATTTCGTGCCCAAAATGATAATTTTAAAAGTTTAGGACCACAAATAAAAATTAAATTTGTGGAACTTTTATACTTTCGTCCGCTAAAAATTCTGGGACGTCCGTGGCAATCTTAACTCTTTCATGAACAAGCAAAGACGACGACTTTGACCTTTTACGGTGGTCCGCTCCGCATACTCATCCCCCCCCCCCCCCCCCCCCCCCCCCC